CCGCTGACCCAAGCTCGAGCGGCCTCGACAGAAACACCAAGCCACTCTTCATTGTCAGTCCTCCAACATCTCTACCTTCTTTTATCCTTCAATAAAGAAAAAAAATTAAATCCTCCGTTTAATTTTCTCTCCCATGTTCAGCTTTTGAGTCCATGGGTCCAAAACAGTCATTGGTCATAACACCATTATTTTATGAATTCATAGAAATGATTCATACTTATTAAATAAAAATAACAAATGAACCCGTAAAAATAATTTGTACTTGTGAAACAAGTTTGGGCATTTGTAAAAAATAATCTGTGGATTTGTGAAGCATTAGCATGAAGCATGAAGGATGTTAAAATCTAAAGCATTTAAGCCTCTTTCTGTCTTTAGGTGTCAAAGAATAATTACTTTTTTGAAGTAATGGGATTTTTTTTCTCCAGATAAATTTAAAGGTTGTATATCCAGAAGTAGTGAGGCATAACGTAATTTAGATAAGACTTCAGATTCAGACAAAAGTATTCAGTCATTTAAAGCAACCTAGCAACCATGAGTCAAGTTTTTTTTTTTTTCTCAAATGAATATATAACAGGGGAAAAGTTTACATTGCATACAGATAAGACACAACCTTTACCAAGAGCAGTTCACTGTTCACAGTTTTTATTTTTTTAAGACCAGATACAGAGGGGGAAAACATATCAGAATCATATCAGAATCAATATTTACATGTATTAGAAATTTTTCTTGGTGTTTGGCCACAACACGATACATTCAACACACACACATCTCAGACAACACAACACAATTCCCATCCTAATATGCAAATATTGCACCTTAACACCTTAACTATGAGACTGGGTGGAGATAACTTCTCAAGAAGAATATTAGGCAGTTCTGAAAAATATAAACAGCAAAACTGTCCAGACTTTTGAGAAATGAGTCACTGGTTCTTGTACATTCAGTAATAAAAATTTTGCAAAACACTGAACTATTTAACTATTTAGTTAACTATCCCGGCCTAGTGTCACACAAAAAAAGAAACTGAAGAACTGTGTTTTGTCTGTTTTATAGAAAAGCAGTCCATAAATCTATTTAGTCTGTCTAAGATATCATGCAAATGTTCCTGGAGTGTATTTTTATTGTGTTTCCCATATGTTTAGTGGGGAACCGATCCTGTTCCTGTCTCATCCAGAGGAGGCTCCATAGGGCGTTGAGGACTTTGCTTAGGACAAATGGTGATGAGGAGAGTCTTTCCTGATCCATGACTGTAGCTCAACTGGCTCCTTTAATGAATGGATCTAAAAAAAATGTACAAAAGCTTTATACTGTATGTTAAAGATTTTTTTGACCGAGATGTTCCCTATTGTCATAAGCCTGATGAAGAGTACCCTCACCTTGTGTTTGTTGGGGTTCACCAGGATCACTTTTAGAGCTTGCCGTGTAACCGAGGGCAAGACTGCAGTGCAGCTGGTTAGAAAAGCTGCCAACCATACAAGAGGATTGGTGAAGGCATTTAATGAAGCTCCTGCCAAAACAATGAGTACAGTCTGAGAGTACAGATTATACTGTATCAGCGAATGCCTATTTGTAATCAATGGGTTTCTGTCTCCTTATTTTAAAACAAGCCTTTCCTAAAAAAAAAAAAAAAAAGCTAAAAGCTGGAGCTTAGCTGGCAAAGGATATCAGACCAAGCCTGTTTTTTTTCTGATATGGATCCCATTGCTACAATGCTAAATAGTTATGTACTGTAATACTTTCAACGTATGATTGGGTAGGGTAGTGTTGGGTAGTAACAGACTATATGGATTATTTCATTTAATTGCAAAAAATGCACAAAATCATATTGCAGTTATGTGTTTGTGCCTGAGTACATTTTTGACATCATTGAATTGACAGTTGAAAACTGAAAAAAAAAAAAATTCTCTGGACTTTTTCCAGTCTTCAACTGTTTAGTTTTTCTGTAAATCTGTGTGCACTGTAGCCTCAAATTCCTGTTCTTAGCTGGCAAGAATGGATCTTGATATGGTCTTCTGCTGTTGTAGCCCATCTGCCTCAAGGTTTGATGTGTTGTGCATTCTGAGATGCTTTTCTACGCAACACAGTTGTAAAGAGTGGTTATTTGATTTACTGCAGCCTCCTTGCCAGCCTGAACCAGTCTGGGCATTTAGGATAAAAGTTATGTTTATACACTAGTGACCATGTAAGAAATACTTGTTTATGGCCTCTCTCATCAATAAGGCATTTCCAGCTGCAGAACTGTATAGTCATCCTCAATAACCTACCCGAGACTGCTTATCAAATACTGATTTGTTGAAAAATCATAAGATTTTTATAATGATTTTTAGACATTGGCACCAAATTGTTCTACGCCACATCTGCATGTATGTTAATGTTAATGGATATGAAGATGAAGAGAATACCAAAGAAACTGTAGTCTTTGGGGGAAGATGTAAACAGACGAGGGCCATGTAGGATAATGGTGGACACGAAAAACAGAACCAGACTGACAAACACTGCAGCAAAATTGTACTTGGTCCAGTATGTAGTCCGTAGAATGATCTAAGAGACACATGTAAAAACAAAAATTAATATATATGTATAAAATTCAAAGCAGAAAATTCACATTCAGATTATTCTGAAAGATTACACAGTTTTGAGAATAAAAATACCTCAACAGTAACTGAGAAAACAGCTGACATTTCCACAGTAACAGCCAAAGTCTGATAGTCTAGGTCTGAGTCCTGAAATACCCCAAAGGGCAAGAAAAAGAGGATGATGGAGGTGTAGATGGAGTAGAGCAATGTCACACATATGGTGAGGGGGTTGAAAAGCTCCTGCCTCTGTCCAGCCATGTAGAACTCTGGCCAGCGAAGACAGCTCTCAGCACTCATGTTCTGCACCAGTACCCAGATTCATGTGAATCATTCAGCAAATGAAAATCACTGTAAAGTTCTGATCAGATCAACTGTTCTACTCACCTGTTCAAATAAACCCAAGCACTGAACAGGCAGGGATGTGTACAAAATGGAGTAGAGGGAAATAAACCAGCTCTCATACATAAGCTAGATGATAAACAACAGAAGGTATGTTTTAGTTAAATATTACACATAAGTAACATCTCAGAATTGCAAAATAATTTACATGTAAGTTGTGTAACTGCAATCAGACAAGCTAGTAGGGGAGTGAAGGGAACATTGTTACATAATTTTTTTAATTTGTCACCCTGTTCATACTTCCAACACCAGAGGCACTATCCCAAAAAATAAATAAAAAATAAATTTTGTGTGACTTCATGTTCTTCCTGTTCATGTGTTCAGAAACATTCTGATCAGAGGTGAGCACAATTTTTTATTTTTTGACATTTAAAAGAAAAATTCACATTTTATGTTAAAAAAACTGAATGTTCAAAATTTTATTTTACAGAGGGTAGAGGATATTGATACTTTAGTCTTCTGATACTTTAGCTGCAGTCTTTTGTTAAGCCTTAAGGAGGCAGAGTATTTTTATTTATTTATCTTTTTATTGAAAACTTGCCGAAAAGCTTCACAATAGGTGTGGATCTCGCAGGAGGAAACTAAAAAGTTATGCAACATACGGTTTTTATTTTAATGTAGAGCTTTAAAGGAAAACATGCTGTGAGGAGGGTTGCCAGGTTTGTTCAAAATGCCTACTTCAACAACAACTCAAAAACCAAAAAAAAGACTTGAAATGCACATTTCTGATTTGAGGTATATATCTGCAATACGTGGTTTTTAATTAGTGTTTTCAGGCATTTCCAGAGTAAAGTGATAGGGTTCACATAAAAAAAAAAACTCAATCTTGATATTTACTAAACAGAAAATAGCAGAACTGCATTAAAACCCCCAAGAGTAAACTTGTTTACTATGAGAGTAAAAGTTTACTATGAGTGTAAACTTTAGTTTTCATGGGACATAAAATTTTGATTGGTAAATTTTGATTGGTGTGGTGTTTATTGCACTTGTGTCATAGCAATAAATAGCCTATTGAAAAAGTGGTATTAACAGATTTTTTTTCTTCTCTGGTACTGCTTTCAGAAAATAAAGTGTAATTGCAGTATCTAAACACCTAAAATTTTATTTTAGATGTCTGGCACAACCACTGAGGACACAGGAACAGAATATGTCTATCTTAGTTCTTTACTCTTGTTGTCTGGCAGTCAAACGGAGGGATTGCAATTCTGGGGAAAGCTTAATCATCAAGGCTATGCAGGTTGGATAGAGGAGTGGCAAGCAGACCAGTAGGAAAAGGCATGGTATGGGTGAGGTCATATGGGAGGAATACATTTGATAAAGGGGAAACCATTTATGAAGGGTTTTGTAGGTAAGTAATAGGGTTTTTAGATGATATGATGCTTAACAGGGATCCACTGGAGGTTTGGGGAATATGTTGCCTGGACGTAATGTTAGTGCGTAAGTGGGAAGAGATAAAGCCTGAATGCCACTAGAGATATAAAGTATGGATAAGAAGAGGGGAGAAGAGACTGGTTCAGGCTAACCCAATGATGATATATGATATAATAATCTTGTGTGAGCTCAGACTCGAACACATTTTATGCCTCTGCCACTAAGTGGTGCAGGCATTATGTTTTCAGGTTGTCTGTCTGTCCAAGGTTCTCGTGAACACAATATCTCATGAACAAGTGAATTTTTGTTGAATTGTTTTAGGATTTATACAGAATTATCATTGTAACCAGCAGATGAACTGATTAGATTTTGGAATTGAGCCAAATAGGGTCAAGGTCACAGCAAGGTCAAACATCTGAAATATTTTCTTCAATAGCTTCCTTCCTGTTTAAAGTGTATTCTAAGGGTTTCTAAGGGTATATCTGACATAAAACTTAGTAACAAGAAGGACTATTTGTTGATGGTAGAGGAATCCCCTTCGACTCTATTGGCATCCCCTATGCTCTATTGGCATAAGTTCTACATATTTTTATTCTGAAGTGGAATTTTTTTGTGAATCATATTTTAGGTAAGTACTACATTCATAAATGCGGGTCACTGGAGGACTAGTGGTTAAGCCTCAGCACTCTCACTGCTGCGGCCCGAGTTCGATTACCGACCAGGGAACCACAAGACAGTGCCGGTCCCAAGCCCGGGGAGGGCTGCGTCAGGAAAGGCATCAGGCATAAAAACTGTGCCAAATCAAATACACAGACCAATGATCTGCTGTGGCAACCCCTAATGGGAGCAGCCAAAAGAAGTACAACAACTACATTCATAAATGCAGATACATTAAAAACTCACCTTTTCTTCCAGCATTTCAAAATGATCAAGATTTGTATTACTAATCCCTAAGGCACATGCCTAGCAAAAATGTCCTAAATGACCTTTCTTCTCTTTGCTATGTTTTGCATTTGTGGCAGCGGGAGCAAGATCAGTAATAACTACATGGTGCTATGTGGTTGCTGTGGTATTCCTTGCATTTGCTAGGGTGTTGCTAGATGGTTGCTCTGCTATACCAGGTAGAAGCTAGAGTGTTACTGAGCAGTTGGTACAGTATGGTTGCAAGGGTGTTGATAGGTGGTTACTAGAGTATTCCAAGTGGTTGCTGGGGTGTTGCGATGTGGGGTTTTTAGTGTGTTTCAAGGAGGTTTCTTTGTGACCCCATATGGTTGCTTGGTTGTAGGTAGTTGGTTGCTAAGGACTCTCAGCTGGTTGCCAGCATGTTAATTGGTTGCTATCATATTTCAGGGAATGGCTAAGGTGTTAGAGCAATGCTGTTTTAATTGCCTCCAGTATATCTGCATTAGCTCAGCCTGAAATTATGTGAAGGCTGGACCAACAACCTATTCCCCATGTATTTCTATGGGGAAAAAATGTACTTTGGAGCCTGGCTATGTGGCAATCATACTTCCAATCTTTCTCCAAAGCACAAGTACCCTATTCCCGTATGTGCCGAATATTGTAGTTCTATGTTAAAAAAGTACAACCTATGAAAACAGTACACATCGTTAAATAAAATAATTATAATAAGAATATTATGGAGAACAACACAGTATGTTGTCTCTGTTAAGCTGACAAAAAAGTGTCTCACAGCAGTATAATAGCACTGTCTATGAAATGATGTTGTAATTTCAAAGTGCAGGTGTGCAGTGATGGTCAGAAGCATCCCCATCTAAGTTCTACATCCTTTTATTCTGAAGTGGAATTTTTATTCTGAACTGGAATTAGTCTAGGTGAGTGCTGGGAGGCAGCAGCTGCCTCAGGATGAAGCTGTTGCAAAGTTTGGATGCTCCAGTACCTTCTGCCAGATGACAGGAAGGTGAAAATTCCATTTGATGGGTATAAGAGATCAGTCACAGTGCTGTTGGCCTTCCAAATACAGCATTTGTAGTAGGAGGATATTGGTAAAGATGATCTACTGATGATCTTCTTTGTCACCAGTATCACTTCTCTCTTTTCCTTCTAAAATTCTCAAATGCACTGTCTACAATCAACTGTCTCTCTATCTCACAGAACAACCTCCAAGATCCTAACCAGTCTGGCTCCAAAGCGGCACATTCCACAAAGACTGCCCTTTTGGCCATCACTGAGAAGCTACATGCTGCTAGATCAGCCAATCTGTCATCAAACTGTCCTCATCCTCCTTGTCCTTTCAGCAGCATTTGACACAGTCAACCACAAGACTCTCTTGTCCACCCTCATGAGTCTTCGTGGTGAATGCGTGGTGCATCATGGCAGTGGTTTGCTTCCTACCTGGAACATTGGTCATATCAGGTGTCATGACGGGGATCTACATCTGCTCCATGCAAGCTCTCCACTGGTGTCCCACAAGGCTCAGTACTTGGTCCGCTTCTGTTCTTCCTCCATACTCAATCTCTTGGTGAGGTCATATCCTCACATGGGTTTTCATACCACTGCTATGCAGATGACACTCAACTCATCCTCTCCTTCCCTTCCTCAGACACTCATGTTTCTGCTCAGATCTCAGCATGTCTGGCAGACATCTCATCATGGATGGCAGTTCATCAGCTGAAATTTAATCCCAGCAAAACTCAACTGCTGTTCATCCCAGGTGATTCATCCCCATGTCAGGATCTTGTAATTTCCCTGGACAACTCTCTGATCTCATCTTCGGTCACTGCACACAACCTTGGGGTAACCATGGACATGGTCCTTTTCCTCTCACATTGCTAATAAGGCACGCTCATGTTAGTTTCTCCTTTACAACATCAGAAGGATTCATCCATTTCTATGCACACAGGCCACTCAGGTGCTTGTTCAGTCCCTTGTCATTTCAAGACTGGACTACTGCAACACGCTTGTGGCAGGTCTGCTTCTGAGCTCCATTCAACCTCTGCAACTGATCCAGAATGCAGCTGCATGACTTGTTTTCAACCTTCCTAAGTTCTCCCACACCACCGCATTGCTATGCTCCCTCCACTGGCTTCCTGTAGCTGCCCACATCAGATTTAAATCACTGATGCTTGGGTACAAAACCAACAACGGACCAGCACCCACTTACCTCAAACCATTTATCACACCCTGCACTGCACCACGCTCCCGCTGATCCTCTAGCACTGTTTGACTGGTCCCACCATCTCTCAGGGTACAAGGAAGGCATGCATCAAGACTCTTCTCTGTTCTGGCACCTAGTTGGTGGAATGAACTTCCCCTAGAACAGCTGAGTCACTGGCAGTATTCAAACCATGTAAAAAAAAATGCTCTACCTTTTCCTGAAGTACTTAAATTAGCACTTAAAAAAAGTGTTGTCTGTATGCTTCTCTTATAATATTATCTCCCCAACAGAGTTTTTAGACTGATGTTATTCTTAGTCTGTGACCTAGTGAACCAGTATCAGGATGGAATTATTGATAGACACTTCAAAGCACTTCTGTAAGTAGCTCTGGATAAGGGAGTCTGCTAAATGCCATATATGTAAATGTCGCTTTCATTTTATCGGCACTGAGAGATAGATCATTGTCTCTGCAGTAGTCTACGAACTGCTCCACCTCCTCCCTGTACATTTGTTGCTAATGAAGCCTACTATGAACATGTCATTAGCAAATTTTATGATGTGATTTGAGCTGTGCATTGCAGCACAGTTGTCAGTCAGCAGTGTAAACAACATTGGACTGAGCACATTGCCCTGGGGAGCATGGCTTGAATTTTGCCCTGGGGAGCATGGCTTTTTTGGTGGAATGATGAACCCGCACCTCCCACTGCTCCCAAAGCCACCCCACTGTTTTTGAACTCTGCGAGGAGCTCCCATGCTACAAAGGAGTAGGTAGTCGGAACACTATGAGACCTGTGACAAGGCTCTGTGTCATTGCTCCACCTCCTGACCCTGACAAGGACATCGTGGCTCTGCCTTCTGATTCCCGTGCTGGTCAGCCGGTGTGCTGGTTTCCCGAGTGCCCTGATTCTTGTCATGACCAGCTAGCATGCTGGTTTCCCAAACCATCATGCCTGGTTGTCTTGTGTCTGCCTCCTGGCTTCCCAGAGGGTGTTGCACATTACAGGTGCATTTGAGCTTGGCAGTTCTAAGGAGTCCTAGTATGTCTTTTGTTATTTATTTAACTTTTCATCAAGCAGCTTTAGGGCTAGAACATGTGAAAAAAAACTCAGTAAAATAACTGATTAAACTGACCAAGAATGATCTAATTTATATAATTACCTAATTCTCCATAAGCACGTGTACATCTGGAAGATATGTTTAAAAGGAGTTGGACATCTGGAATACATTGCATTTAAGCATTTTATTTTGGTATTCTGAACAATGCCTGCGTCACTTACGGACTCAAAAATATTTGCAACCACCGTACTGCACCAAAAGAAACTGGTAACCAACTGAACTTGACATCAGACTGAGTCTCAAGATTCAACAGCCCCAGAAGTAAGTGAATGTTTAATATAACTTATGTTTCATGGGTTTAGTGTCTTTGAATCAATTTTGCTAGATTCTCCCTTATTGTAATTGCATTTTATCAGTTGTACATAGCTTTCTCTCTAACATAGCTTTCTCCTTAACTAGCCTGTAAATTGGTTAAATGTTATGCTAGATAACTAGTTTATATATAGCAGATATGTGGTAATATACTGTAAGCTGCTAATATACTCTGGCAATATAAGGTTTTGTCAGCTAGTCATCACTATGTACATCTGTGGTTCAGGCCAATCCTGTCTGTGCCTGAACTTCTAACCAAGGCTCATACTATGGGGCCTCAGCACCACATTGTTTTTGATGCAATCCCTACATCGAAGTCGGTGACCAGCAAGCAGAAGAGCATGTCCAGTCTCATGGATTGAACCACAGTGTCTAAACCTATTTGGGCTGCCATTTTAAGGGGAGCTGCAATGGTTAGGCCAGAGTCTGCCAACTGTGACTGTGAGCTGACTAAGGTTCCTTTTCTGGATGCTATAGACTGGATCCAAGTGATGGTCGAGTACTACGTGGAGGGCTTGGACCCTGAGCTATAAGGAGGGCTCTGCTGAAGAGCATGAGCCATAGTATGAGGCTTCAGCCCTAATATTTCTAACTGAACTATGTCTGATTTTAAGCCAGCCATTCCCTTGGAGAGAATCTTGAAGCATTTCTTGATTTTGTGTTACACATCAGCCAGTACCATCCTGAATGTTAGCAGCTTGCAGCCTGATTAGTTGGATACAGTGGTGACAGGCACACACACCGGCAGTGTTAAGTGATTAAGGGAAGGCAGCTTTGGCCTATTTGTGCCGTTAGCACAAATAGGCCAAAGTTAGAAGGGTGAAATAAAAATGGAATTTATATGTGTCTAATATTAGCTGAGTGAAACACACATTGATAGATTTTATTTCGTAAAAATGAACTAACAAAATTCTCCATTTAACTTGACTGAAAGTGAGGGAAACACATTAGCTTAACTTTTTAGTGGAAAACATTTTCAGGCCATGACAGATACTGGGGGAAAGAGAAAGGCTACGCTTCTGGCTTATTTTTGAGTGATAACTTGTAGCAGCATAGCTCCTATGCAAAATGGATAAAGGTTGGCAGGTCTGGATAAGCTCTTGGGCACAGTCATTGACTCAAAACTCACCTTTGATAAGAACTGTGAATTGTGTGTAAAAAGGCAAAACTGAAAGATACA